AATTGCCATAAAAAGTAAACTGGCCTTAAATTCACTTTCTGCATGTGAAACAAGACTGTATATTTGAGTTGTAGAGGAGTTTGAGCAAATAATCAGAGTGTAGTAAAAGTGCAAGTCGCTAGCACTGTGTCCACGTGACTGTTTAGCAGTGACGGATGCTGTCAGGAATTTTGAATTTTCCTTCTACGCCATATATGGATCCTGGATTGGACAAATCCAGTATGATAATCAGTCTAGATAAGTTAGACAATAACTAATCGGTCTAAATAAGTTAAACAATCAATTAAGACTTTTTGAAGCCAAAACAATCGACTCTCTTTTATAAATTATAACTATACATATAATCGAAGATGCCTTTTACTTTTTAATTTTACTAATACTATATTTTCTAATTTTACTAATAATTTTTATTGATATCAGAACACATACGGCACAATTGATTTATAATTCCCTTCTACCTTTTATTTCGTGAAACTTTAGCTTCTGAGAGGCTCAACTATTTCAGACAATTAAATTTTCTTCTAATATATCACATCATGGCCTAATTAATTCTTTTTGTTGAATTTGTGAAAATGTTGCTTTAATCAACGTTTTTTTCTTTTCCCACGGCAGAGACCATAAAGATTTTCTCAAAGGTTTCCACGCAGATGGAGAATTTCGCTCGTCATTTAAATTAATGCAGAAACCCTGAACGCGATTACACCCCTGCAAACGTGAGCGAGACGAGCAGTGCCGACGAGCAGTCGGCGCTTGGCTCTGTCGTGAAAGATGGCTTTGCTCGCGAGAAACATTTGTAAGGCGCTCTCTCAGGTAATTATCGACGCATCCCTCCGTCGCTGCATGTGTTCAGAATCTCGTGCACCTATGAAATGCAGAAAAAACACATAAGTTCTATATCATGACAATTAAGACAAAAAAATGCAACTACTCCGTCGACGTAATGGAGTAGATGATCGCAAGAGCATCGCATATTTAGGTGTCTTTATATCGCGATATTTTTATCCGAAACGCATTCGCGTGTCGAAAACGCAAACTTGTTACTCGATGCACCCGCGCAAACGTATTTCTCGAATTTGCTCGGCTGCGCGAATCCTTACACGTCGACTGAGGCAAGCACCTGCATTCGCGAGCTTACTTATCACATTATTTAATCAAGGTAATCTTAGTTATTCGTTGAGAAAAGCAATAAATTGTTACGCAAGAATTAGAAGCCTATTGTTCATGAAGTGCGACGAACAGAATAGGATTACAATGTTGATTAACTCCAGTTAACTAAAAGGATTAATCCTGTCCGAAGATTCTAAATTTAGAGCGTTCCATGAATTCCATTCCTGGAAAAAAGAATTATATTTGAGACAAAAGTGTAATAAATGCTACTTTGAATTCTTTGTATAACACTAATTACATTCATATTTTAATAAGATATGTTTAAATTTTGGCACATTGTATTTAAAGTATGTTAGATTTGTAGTATATCACATTTAGATTATCGTATATGTATAGTGAATTATGAATTTTATTATGTTTAATAAAATGTAATTCTTATGTTTTGTGTTTGTAGGCTACTCAAAAGAACACAGTTAGGGCCCTGCACGTAGGGACAATACGACAGCAAGAATCGGTAAAGCATTGCTATTCTTCAATTGATAATTAGATATATATGTGACATGTATACTTTTTTCAGTCAGTTGAACAAGAAGGAAAGTTAAAATGTACCTTGATACCGGGAGACGGTGTTGGACCAGAACTAGTGGTTGCAGTTCAAAATGTTTTCAAAGCTGCGGATGTCCCGGTTGAGTTCGAACCTTACTTCTTGTCTGAAGTAAATCCAACCCTGAGTGCTCCTCTGGACCAAGTCTCCAACAGTATCGCTAGAAATCGAGTTTGTCTAAAGGTCTGATTATATATTTTCTAAACTAATAATATAATTAAATAAAATAAAATAAAACAAATGATATGACTTACTCAATGCTTTCATTTCGTGCACATACAAACATCAATAAGATAAAGCACATAATTTCAAATATAAAAATTTTTCTATTTGATAAAGCAAATTTTTTTAAAAGTATGCGACTGTAAGATAACAGTAATTTTGCAACTCTCGATGTAACTGAATATTGTTTCGCATTCACAATAGGGGATCCTAGCAACTCCGGATCACTCTATGACGGGAGAGTTGCAGACCTTGAACATGAAATTACGTAAGAGCTTGGACTTATATTCAAATGTGGTGCACGTGAAATCTTTACCGGGAATTAGGTCACGTCATCAAAATGTGGACTGCGTTATTATCAGAGAACAAACGGAGGGAGAGTATTCCGCGTTGGAGCACGAATCTGTCAAAGGAGTGGTCGAATGCTTAAAGATCGTGACTGCCACTAAAAGTCAAAGAATCGCGAAATTCGCCTTTGACTATGCTGTAAAGAATAACCGCAAGAAAGTCACGTGTGTTCACAAAGCTAACATAATGAAACTCGGCGATGGACTTTTCCTCAAATCGTGCCAGGAAATTGCCAAAATGTACCCCAGGTACTTCAGTAACTTTCCTGTCCATCTATTAATTGCTAATTAAAAATATTTATTATGAAATTATTTGTAAAATGTATTTAATATTATTTATATACAATAATTCACGCACCGTTAATTGCGTTGGTTCATATAAGCAGGCTTTCTTTTTAACTTTTATTTTATATTCCTATTTTCTAATGAAACAGGGTTACGTTCGAGACGATGATCGTCGATAATTGTACCATGCAGATGGTTTCTAATCCACATCAGTTCGATGTCATGGTAATGCCGAATTTGTATGGAAATATTGTGGATAATCTCGCGTCCGGTTTGGTCGGTGGTGCCGGAGTCGTCGCAGGTGCCAGTTATAGCGCTGAGTGTGTCGTCTTTGAACCAGTAATGTATCTGATTTTGTATATATGTGTGTATGTGTGTGTATATATTTGTACAAAATAAGAATTATATTCAAAGTGCAATTAAAATTAAGAAGAATTTTTAAAACTTAACTTACACCAATTTTAAAACATAAGTTACTAAAAGTCTCGTATTCTTCAACAGGGCGCAAGGCACACATATTCCGAGGCGGTCGGCAAGAACGTCGCGAATCCGACGGCGATGTTGCTGTGTGCGGTGAAGCTTCTGAATCATGCGAATTTGAAACGCTATGGTGAGCAGATCCGCGAGGCGTTGAACCGCGTGCTGAATGATGGAAAGGTGTTAACGAAAGATCTGGGTGGGCAAAGCTCGACGACGGAGTTCACCGCTGCCGTGATAAACAGCCTGCGCTAAAACTTGTGTAACATAAGAGAACGTAGACCTTGCATTGTGAACTCATTTTTATCTGAAATGATTGTGTAAATCGTAGCGTCACCCGTTATAGGGTATATCTAACTCACATTATAAAATTTGTAAAGCTATATTATTTTAGGACTCTATAATGATGCAAATTTTCATTTGCAATAATAACCTTCTGTATGTTCTACGAACAGAAAGAAATCCAAAGTTTTTTGCAATTGCCAGATTGCAGAAATCCAAATGCGATGAGCGGACTGCAATTAATTCTATATATTAGTTTTAATAGACCAAAATATAGACACAATTGTATCATATCTATATATAGAATAAATTACACTATCTTGTATGATCCTATTAAAAAATGTCAAGCCTCTCCTTATTTCATAATTAGAAATAATGATATAAATACATATATATCTTTACATTTCATAGTCATCTTTGATAAAAGTTAAATGAAAATGTTAAAATTACTTTAGTAAATTACAATAATTAATATCTATTTTTAGTTATTGATTTTTTCTGATTATTTTATTTTTACCCTTATTTTCTAATATTTGTGGAATAAATGGTTCATAATTTAATAAATATATAAATATACATTTATAATACATAAATATATAATATATATTTAAAATATAATATATAATAATATATAAATGTATAATAAAAATATGATATTCTCGCAAAATAAAATTTCTGAAATAAAATTCATGAAATTACGAACGATGGCGCATATCGTTCAGTGATATAACACGTGTCCATTGACAACTCGACATCTGTTGACTGTTTGTATCAGCTGATCGAAGTCTTCGCCTACATATCGCACGTATGCACGCCGAATAAACGAGAAATAACATAGAAGCAAAGTAACTTGCATTGTCAATGGATCCCGACAATTACACGGTGGAATTAATACGTCAAGACATTGTCAAATACCAACTCCAAGTGAATGCTTTAATACAAGTAAATATATATATATTGTCGTGGTACATAGAATATAACCTAAATTTCAATGTTGATATAACAAAGCTATGGACAGTGGCAAGAAATATGTCACGAATTAAATTAAAATAGGTCTAATTAATACTCTGCATTTAATAAATTACCTGTTTACTGTGAAGGACATACAACAATGCAGTGGGCCGCTGGAAGTGCTGGATGAGCTCAACGCAGAGGGTAGAGCCAAGATAGCAGTTTTGAAATCCTCCTTAGAGCATCTGGCATCCATCGCCGAAACCGAGGCGGATAAAACCAAGAGGGTCGAACTGCTATCTGTCGTGGATAGTTACAAGGAACAGCTAAATACTTCCTTGGCTGCCTTTCGCAAGGCCAATGTTGTCAGTGCATGTGTCATTGACAAACTGGCGAGAGAGAATCTGTTTTCTATGCCGGAGGAACGACAAAACGCTCTTCGTAGGCGGCATGACAAACAGAGCTTGACGAACGCGTCCAGCCAACTGACAGACAAATTGCTTAGTATTTCCAGACATCTGGCCGAAACATCTCAAAGAAGCGCTGATACGCTAGATACTTTGTGTGTGTACTTGTCTCGTTACTTGATGGCAACCTGATGGCATGTTATTCTATGGATTGACATTATATGTCTTCATGAATGAAAGAAAAGATAAAGGATGGACTTTTATAAATATTTTAATAACTTTATATATAAGTTATTCATTAATCTCTTTTAAGATCGTTTTCATTTGTCACCAGATATTGTTAAATAAGAATAACTGATTGTATATAATAGCATCCTGTAAAAAGTAGAATATATGAAATCTCTCGGAACATTTTTATATTCATTATTAAAATAGATTACATTGCGCTGAATTTTAATGTCAGAGGATGAACAGCAAAATAACTATAAATTATGTTTTAGCAAATTTTTTGTATTATTGTTTCAGTAACATCTTCAGACAAGGTCGGCAGTACCAAGGACGAATTGGAGCATCAGCAACAAGCTATAGTACAATCAGGAAAACTGTTAGGGAAATATGGTAGACGAGAAGTCACTGATAAAGCGTTGCTCGCATTGGCATTTGCCTTTTTCCTTGCCTGTGTATTTTACATTCTACAAAAAAGATTATTCTGAGTATGCATAAAGTTTTAAGATATATAAGATGTATAAAGCTTAAGATGAGATATCAAACTGTTTATATAACAATGCAAATTCTTATAAGGGGACGGGAAAAGAAGAAATAATGTGATATATATTATATGTACTCTTCAAGAGTGAAAGAGGACAAAGGGTAGTGTCTTTTATAAATATTTTAATAACTTTATATATAAGTTATTCATTAATCTCTTAAGATCATTTTCATTCCGTCACCAGATTTTGTTAAATAAAAATAACTGATTGTATATAATAGCATCCTGTAAAAAATAGAATTTATGAAATTTTTGGAGATACATATATATTTTTATATTCCCTGTTATTAAAATAGATCTTATTATTAAAATAGTTTGCATTGTGCGTTTTTTGAATTTTAACACTAGAAGATGTAAAACACATAAATCATTTTTAACAATTTTTTCATCGACGTCGATATTAATAAAATTTATAGCTCTTTGGTTCTAGAAAAGTCTAATAAGACATTTCATCATTAAGTAGAATTCTTCTAGTGTTAAATATGAAAAATGTTATTCTTACACATAGTAGGATTCCGTACATTTTTACAGCCGTTCATAAATTCTTCTCTGGAGACTATACCGTCTCTATTCGCGTCCATCTTTTCAAAAAATTTGTCCACCTGCTGATTAACCATGGACTGGATAGTTTGCGCGTTTTGCACCATCTCGTAAATCGCGGATACTATAGTTAGCATCTCCTGTCTTGTGATACAACCGTCGCCGTTCAGATCGTAGAACCTGAAAAGCAATAAGTCCGAAGAAATTATTTTGTGTTGCTTTGGCTACGTTCGAGATCATCAATTCGACAGAAAATTAATCGTTTTTGAAGTGATCAAAAAATTTATTTTTAAAATTAATTAATTCTCTCTAATCCGAATAAATATATCTTCCAATTCCCATGAATAATTTTATAATTAAATCTCTCATAAAATATTATTTATAATTTTTTTCGAATTTATCAGAAAAATCGCTATTAATAGAAACATTGAGGAAACGAGCTCTCACTCAAATATCCAGGAAAGCTTCTGGTCCACGTTGCCATTAATAATCGATGTCATGGCTTTGAGAAGATCGTTGAAATTGACGATGCCATCGCCGTTTCTGTCGATGTTGTTGAACACGATCTGTGCATATCTGGTCGAATCACCAAGCGGAAATAGTTTGGCATACGTGGGTTTCAGATCGCTGGAAGTTGCGCATCCCCTAGGGCACAGCTGCTTGAAGGCGCGATACAGTTTACGAATTTCATCTTTAGAAAACCCGGTGCGCCAAGTCAGAGTGGACAGTTGCTCGGGGAACACGTATAATGAATGTTTATTTTCCTGGATGCTCTCTACGAAAATGTGATCGAGTTACATACAGTGATATTGCAGATTATCGTATATATTTACATCCTGATTTTTATTCGCTCGGGTTAATCTTAGAAATTTGAAGTTTTTCATTCTGTAACTGTTAAATTCTTCACAATTATATATCTTTTGAATATAAACTATAATTGTAATAAAATTAAATTAATTAGTTGCACTTTAAGGGGTTCTTTCTATTTACAATGTCAAATGTAAATTATTAAGTATACGTTATTATTACTAAAAAATTGCGAATTATTTATTTTAACTTTTTACATCTTTTTTTTTTATACTTCAAAATTTTTAGCAAATTATAATTGTTATTAGTCATTTAATTAAATTGAGTATTTATTTAACAGCTACTATAAAATTATTAAAACAGATTTATTAATTTTATTACTAAAAATCTCTCATTATATAGTTCTATTCAATTACTTAATTGTATACACATTACGTCTTTATTATCTAATTTAATCGAGCGATTTGTCTAATTAATTGGCGATTTCTAGCGTTACAAAAACTAGGAGAAAGTCCTAGTCTACAAACGATCAAATCGGATATCGTTACCAGTAATTTTTTGGATGCTTTTTCTCATTTTCCTCAAGCTGCGTTGCATCTTTATGGAGAGGCTGGGTCGGCGAAGAGACTCGCAATTATCTTTGCTGCCGTGGTTTGACATTTGAAAGGATCCAACAGACACGTGAGATCAGATGAGCTTGACAGTGATCAACGATTTTCAGCGAATGTCGAGCGGAACGAAACTGACGCAGTCGACTGCACAGAGTAGTTTTGATGAAGCCTGCAGTAGCCAAAATATTTAGACGATTTACTATGGCATGTCTGTAAATCCCAACAAGAAATGACGTATGAACGCATATCCGCAGACGGTTTTGGGTGTGTCTCATCCACCGGCTCATCTTCAATGAACATTTTCTTCTTGGATCACAAACAATAAATATACTAACTAATTTCTTGTAATGTATAATTGCGTACGTTTATTAGTCCAAGTGACTCCTATGTTTATTTTATATTCGAGTCTAAATTTACCAGATCACGATATAAATTATATGTTATCACTACCGCAATTGGCAACATGACCCAATCCGAATTCCAAAGTCAGATTCGAAATGGAGTTTCGGAAAAGAAGAGAAGAAATAAGAAGATAAAAACCGTAAAGCTTCTTCGAGAAAGTATCTTTGGAATTTCTTGCCAAACATTTATGGGAGTAAAGCGGGAGAAATGTAAAAAAATGTGCTTTCGCACAAAGAGGAATTTGATCACATTCTCTAAAAGTATTAAAAACTTCCTCCACCCACAAACTAGTTTGAATCACTGTATGAAAGCGAGTTTCTTAAATAACTTTATCGTTGCATACATTTCCCGCGTTTATCACACATGTAACATTAAACTTATATATAAAAGTACTCTTAAATACTATATAAATATAAAAATATATACATATATATATATATATATTAAATTATGTATACAAAATTTTATAATTCTACAATTTTATATAACTCCAAATTAAATTTCTAGAGTTAAATAAGCTATTAAAAAATTGTTCGTCTCTGTTGCGAACATCTGTGTGTAAATAGACACTTTCTCTGCCAAACGCTATTAATAGTCGGGTAGATTGGAAACTGACTATTACGGTAATAGGAATCGGTAGAGCAAATCGTGTCGTTATTTGATGGTCTATAATTCAAGAATTCACCCTTTCATGGAAGAATCCGTCAAGTGTAAGGACAATTATGTGCAGTTGCGCGAAGTAATCGACCTTGTCGTCTGCAATTTACGATTCATATTCGCGCGATAAATGGGCCTATCAACTACCAATAATTTCCCTCGAGGCAAACCGAGTTATTTGTTTATATATAACCCAGTTTTTTTATACAATGTACAATCCGGTATTACGTGATTAAAGAATTTATTGCAGTGTCTCTTATAGTCGATTTCCTGTAAGAAGTTGCGTGCAATTTGAACCAGGTTGAGAAAGACTTCGTGTAAAATGATGAATAACGAATGAAAAAAATGCTGTATCCATTACAGGGGCTAATTTGCACCAATATAAATTGACGCTAATTGCGCAAGACAAATTATTTTTCCTAAAGCCAGATTACAAGGTAGAAGAAAAAAACAGCACATTACTATACATATATGTTACACTACTCAAACCGCATCATTAAAATAATTTAAAAATTAGCGTAAAACAAATTAAAATAATAATTATAATTACTAATAACCATTTCTTTCAAATTCATGTGAATTTAATTTCTCAAACTTTCATTGTATTTGAATTTTTGCCGTCAAGCAAGTAAATATATAATTAATTTAGGTAATAAAATATACAGAAGTACAGATTCTATCATTAAGAGAAGTGTTTTACCTAGAAAAACATTTGGAAAAACATATGAGGGAAGAACTCAAGGGATCAAAGGGCAACTTGTTTCGGTTCATCCAAGCAGTTTCACGGAATGTATGTCAAGTTTGCCGATAAGATAATCCACTACTGTTTTTGGTATCGCAAGCGGTGTCCTTGACATGATATTCGAATGTAGAGCGACTCCCAATAAAGTTTGGCGCCAGTGCGGAAGAATCGGACGCGAAGATTGAATATATCGCGCGCAGATCGGCCTGTGCATAATATAATGTAGGTCACGCGATCATTTTCGTAATCTCGAGGAAAAACGCATGCTGCGAAATTCACCCGGTGCGGTGCACTTTATGATCGAATGCACGCAATAGCATGCAAGCACGTATCGGCGGCGCGTTACGTATGCAAAATTATTACTATTTCATGCAGAGCGCCGGATTTCGTGGATACGTCTACGTCAAATATCTGAAAGCGATCCATGAATTAAACATTGAATGCTAATCCGGAAGAACCGTATACGAGATCTGATCTAATCACAATCGATGCAGTCAACTGCTTTTGCGTCTTCCGAACGATCGTTATTAGAGCGCACACAGGGCTTTTCCTTTTCTTCTTCCTTTGCCTCAAAGAGTTACATGACGAAATGCCATTACCATAAGATGTAGCGGCATACCAAACAAATGAGTAATTACGATGATATCAGTATCTCATACATCTTCCTGTATTCCCTGCAAACGATATTGCGTGCGCGGAATACGCGAGCGAGGGAGCGAACAAGAGTTACGAATGTTGCATATAAATTGTTATAAAGAACGACCAAGACAGTGAAAAAGGGTCTTCCCCAAGTTCAAAAGCGCGCAAGCAGCAAATGTGTCATTTTGTCAGCATGTGCGGAATCCTAAATTGAGGAAATAATCGTGAAGAGGTAGAACTCGTTGGAATAAGAAATCTCTTCGGCGGCTCTCTCAATCACAATCTTGTCATGAGAAAATAATAAAGGATCTAGACATGGTTGGATTTAGAATCCATTCCGTATGATCCAAACTTCGAACGGTCATGAATGTAAATTGAAAATCTGGAAATCTGTAATGCAAAATATTGTAAGACAAATCATATATCTGAATATATAAATACAAAATGCTCAATATTTTTCAAATAGGTGATTCTAGGATAACAAAGAAAAAAATAAAATGACATCAAAATCTACGATCGTGGATTAAGATTAAATAAACCGTTGATTGAATCTATGATTTAATAGAATTAAATAATTTTGTTCATCTATTTGATTAATGATTCAATTAGATTCTAATAGAATTACGTATATCAATTATATAAATTGTAATATATATTACTATAGGCTCTGTCAGATTTTTATGCGTTATTTTATGCTTTCTCTCTTTATAATTTATATATGATCTTATAAAAGACTGCCGTATATTCTTACTAAAGCCGATTGAACACATACGCATTCAGTATCCCAAGATCATTCATCAAAAGACAACGCAGATTCATCACCAACCGCGCATTTTTCTGAGCGGTAGGGCGATAGGCCAGTGGTATATAAATCAGCAGTAAGCAGTATCTCTCCATTGCGGTAGTGCTTGTTACAGTTGCTTGTGATTAGGTAGAAGTTAATTATTATAACTAGTACAATTATTAGAGGTGCTACGTGGCCTCAATTATTTTCCATAGTTAGAGAACAAATTCAAATAAATAACAATACAGTCGACAAGATACTGGAGTTTCCAGAAAACGACGTCGTATCGTCGTTAATCCCACAATTCAGAAAGTGTAAAAGAAAATATTGACGCCGTGACGCAACGACGTTCATTATCTGATTTTTTGGTGCGTGAACGTGCGTTGTCCCTGTTTTTATATCCACTTTAGCGTTTTTATATCCACTTTACTAAGTGCGCTGTCAGCCGTGACACCTGTCAGAAGTAGTAAAATCAGCGAGCGTTAACTGCAATCGAACTGTTAATGGAACTTTAATGGAACTTTTATTTTTTATTTGCAGAACATTCACTTGGACCTACAATAGACTCTATATCATCACGGATATCAGAGAAATCAAAGGAAACTGAATAATAGTAAGAAATACAATAATCTTTTCAATTACTTCAATTATAATAAAGAATGGAAAACTTAAGGAAATCAAGTAAATCTCAAGAAACTGTAAACGAATGAAAAAAATCTGAATCTTTCTTGAATGATTTCAACAAAATTCTGCTAAAACAAAAATTTACTTTAAATTAATAGATTTGTAAATATAAAAATATATGTATACATGTGTATCATATCTTTATAAAATTATCAAGAATTCAAAAAAATTATTAAAAAATTAATCTTTCGAATCTAGTTTTAAACATTCTTTACACTTCAGTTTGGGAATTAAAATCCTAAAATATAATGCAAAACGATTAAATTTAAACATAATGTATCTAAATACTCACAATGTATCTAAATACTCACAAAAATAGAAAATAATCTTTCTCCTTCTAGATCATCAGAAAAAGTTAAAAGATTATGACTGAAGTTTTCAAGTGATAGAATTACAATGAAGTTAATCATTCTGCTGTTACTACTGGTCAGTTTAGTTTCCTGTAAGCCCTGGCTCGAGCTATGGTTTCCTCAGCAGTCCTACGACAATCGAAATACCGGATACTACGCAAACGGCCCGTATCGTCAAAGTAGAGGTGGTAAGGAGCGCTGGAAACAAATTTGCAGAACTATAAATGCGGATTCATATGCGTTCCCAGGACGCGTGCCTTATCCTGCCGCACCCGTTTGTCCATGGTAAAGGAAATTTCCGGTCGGATTTCCAATCTGTCGTGCCAAACGCAAGTGAGAACGTATCGTGCGTTAAAAATATGAATTTATTGTAACAACGTAGTTTTAGACAGTTTACGTCCACCGGTTATGAGTATTTCAGTCAGTATGCGTGTACGTATGTGTCCGTGACAATGCTAGCAAACAATTTAAAGCTAGTATACATACAAATATTCGATTACATATAACTACGGATGCGTTCATCAAGTAAAGTACGAAGCGAGGAGATAATTGTCAATTGCTTTTGTACGCGAACTTTATTACTTCTCGCTTCTCGGTCCGTATTCGCACTTGTTAAATATAAAAACGAGAAAAAGAAACTAGGAATCTTATCGTACTACAAAAAATAGCTTAGAGTTAAAAAAAAACAAAACTAAAGAATACAGTCGAAAGCTATAAAAATGTAGTTTCTAGATTTCTTTTTCAGACATTTTAAGAGTGTTCTATCATGCAAAGTCACTTTATATCAGTATAACTTTTATTTATCCGTCAATGTTAAATTTTTAGTGCGCGTACGGACCCACTAAATATCTGCTAACTTAGATACAGTTCAAAGACTTATCTGTTGATCTGTGTAACATCGACTTTCTAAGTCATCACCATCTGCCTACAAATCAATAACACTCCAAGCTCTCTCTCTCTCTCTCTCTCTTTCTTTTCTTACGTATAAAAATAAGCTATATACATTATATATGTTACATTGTAAGTTTATGCTCAAATTTTCTAAAAAAAATGCACGCTTTCGTAGCACAATTGTAATTATAGTCTTAAATATCATGTATATTACATGCTTTATATACAGTCCAGGATCACAGAGTTCGGTACAGCACGGCGGTGTTGTGTGTACGTTGATGCTTGTAGTTTAAAGAAGCGATAAAAGCCATTTTAATACATTATCTAAGCAAATTGTACAATATAAAGTTTAATTTAAATACAGTCGAGAGAATTTTACTCATCTATAGTTAATCTATAAAATTATATTTAGAAATAGGATTTTCAATTTTGTAAAAATTATATGAAACAAAGATAAAAATAAATAATTTGATTTGTAGATTAACTTTTTGTTGCACAGTGAGATACCTATGATACTGTAATTTCAAATAAGACCTATTATCAATGATAATCACACGAAATTGTTAAAAACATATGATTTTTTTGTCAAGTTTTTTTGTCAAAATGGGAATTGTTATATCATAATTACATCGCCATCACAATTCCTCCGAGTGACTACCCTTAAATAAATTATATCACGATCAATGTCCGGCATTGCTGGATAATTTATCTGAATTCTAAAATAACTTATTTCTTACTTGGATCACAATGGTTTCGTTATTACCGGGAAGAAATTCCGCATTACACTGGTAAACTCTTTTATCGCCTGTGCGAGGAACTTTGTAATCGAATTTTGGACCGAGAAGAACAATCATTTCCAGACTTGTATCAAACCATCTGTGCTGCCGGTGAGAATGCACGTATTCGACATAGCCACGGCGGAGATCGTGTCGTGCTGACCGGAGGGTGGAGTCTCGGGACCGCTTTCCTCCATGTTTCTTCCTCTTGTGTCACTTCCAGACAACGGATTAGAATCGTCATCCACCAATACCTCCTGCACGACGTTCGTTCCGTCTATCAAACGTAAACTGTAAACAGAGAAGCGATATCGTATATCATTAAGCAAGAATATAATAAATATATTGAGTGATTAATTTTATAATCAATCGATTACTGACTCGTATGCCAATGAATTTGGAGTGAGGACATCGTTAGCGGCGGGCAGAGCGACGTAAGATGCGGTGGGTCTATCAAAGTCCCAGAAGCGTAATCGCATATCGGTGCCGCCGGCTAAAAGGAAGCCCGAACAATCGATGCATCCAGTGTACATGGCACATACAGTGTGACCGGCTTGAGTACGACTCAACGGCGGGGCATTTGATGCCCATAGAACCATCTGTCGTTGATCGGTCTCCAGATTCCACATAGATATCTCATTGTTACCTTGTACAGCTGAAATTATCCACGAATGCTCTGTCGGATGCGTAATTACCTTTCGTACTCTGGCGCCTGAAAGAAACGATAAATAGCATTACAAATAGTACAAGTAACATTATTAGAAATTATTTTAAGTGAAATTAGTACATCAAGCGCAATAGAAAATAAAATAGCGAGATAATCTACCTGTTGGGTGCTTGATACTCGTTATTGGCAGTTGAAACCTCAAGTCCCAACAGGTATGGATACCGGAACTCGTGCCAAGGGTCAACCACTGCTGATGACTGTTTACGCAAAACGATGTGATGACTCCATGCTTTAAATCATTTTCTAAGCGCCATGTTGTGCCGGGACATCGTAAGTCCCAACCTACCAGCGATCCATACAATGAGGCATATACAAGAACCGATTGCGAGCCGGAATCTAGATACTGTAGATCAACAGCACTTCCTTCTTCCTGTTAAACCGTTAAAGCGTTAAAAGTTGCAAGCAACATTTCTTTAACATTCATATGCGTTGAATTTTTATATTATTGCGGATATTTTCTAATCACCTGGGGATCTAATTGACGAGTGCCAATCAGGCTCATTTTACTCGAGTTTGGCTCAATCCGAAGTACGAATACTGTTCCAGACGAGCTCGCAGAGCTTGCTAAAGATTGCCCTTGGTCGCACACAGTTAAGCCAACCAGTGGGCCTCCTCTATGCATGTAAGTTTGCCTGTAAAGCACAGCATCAAGAAATGAATATTGCATTATTAATAACTCGGAGCTTTAAACTTAAAATAATATAATAAGTTAGTCAAAACATTTTCAATGTGTATATATAATTGTTTTGAAAGAGAAAAACAGTACCTAGAACGATTAGCAATATTTCGTCCCTCCATCTTACTGGCATCCCAAATTTTAATACATCCGTCGGAGGAACTACTTGCGAACAAGTTAGTGTCCGGTATCGAAACTAATCTATTCACTGCAGCTCTGTGCTCATGGAGATGCGCGACGGGAACTCCTCGAGGTCTCCAATCCTTTGGCAGTGATGTGGAGCCTTTTAGCCAACATCGATAATGAATAAAGAAGCACATGATAATCATACAATACAGCATGATGTAATTTGTAAAGATTTAATTTTTATTTACCAGCTTCGCAAGCGATATTGTTAGCCCAACGTTTTGCTCTTAACACTGCTGCATGTTGCTCTTGTTTCCGATACGTTAATTGCCGTACTTCTAACCGGCAGGGCGCACATCTATCTGCAAAATTGTTATTCTTTAATATTTTTTTATCTCTCATTTTATGAAACATAAAAATTATATAAATATTATTATATTTAAATTTTATTATTTTTAACTTTTTAATTATTTATTATTTTTATTATTATTTTATATTACAATCTCATTAATTTCGCTTACATTGTATATAAGATCGCTCGTGAAGCGAATGATCGTTCATGAGAGAATTAATGCTAGTCATATCTGATAGACAATGATGCGGAGATAAATGGATGTCTCCACTGTGTATGCTCTGGCTGGGACTGCCACTGCTTCCGGTCATGTCTGACATTTTAACAATAGCATGCTGTCACAATAATATAAGAAAAATTATTACAAACAATATAGAATTAGCAGGACAATATAGAAAACAAAGAACCATCGATATCGATTTGTTATAATACTTGAGCGTTATCTTGAGCTGCAAACATCGTACGCCATTCTTGATTCATTGTTGCGTATGTACCAACAGTCTCCGATGTTCTTCGATCCAATCTCTTGAAAGGTGGCAGGGTTAAGTCTCCTTTAGTATCAGGATATAATACGACGACATGATGTCTTATTCTATCTTTCACTGGACTTAACTCCAGTTTACCATCCACGGGCTTGATAGCATTTTGCTTCGTGTCCGCGGAATTGCGATACTTGTTGATCTTCATCAAGTGAGGTTTCATGATTAGCAATTGATCCTCAACTGCCTCAGTCATTGATTCCGAACTCAAACGCCTAAAAAGCTAAAAAAAAAAACTGTTGGTGAATCTTTTTGTATTGAATCTTTTTTATTTGCAATAATAAACAATATATCTTTATTTTAAATTTTTTCGCTGCATAATATATAACGCAACATTATTTTATTTTAAAATTTAATTTTTTGGCAATATAGTAAAATTTTTTCCCAGTGTTTCAAGATTGAATATAATCAACGTTATTTACATTTTTTAAAGAGGTACTCATGTCGTTGTATTGCGGCGATACTACACCCGTTATGGCTTTCGCTCTAGCTGCCTGCCTCTGTTCAAGTACTTGGAATAGTTCCTCCACATCGTTATACTTCACCACGGAATCGTATACGATTCTAGATATAGGAGGAACAAGTGCCTCGAGCAATAAAATCTCCTTTTCTATCTGGATCAATGAATGTTTCAGATATGGTTGGAGCATCGTTTGAACTTTACATTGGACGTCTACCACATTCAGAGTTCTTGCTGCCGCGGAAATAAAGCCGACGGTTGCATGACGTATCCAAAGATTTGGGTGGACCTATAAAAAAATGACAGTGCAAATTAATTACACCAATACACAAGGTGCTTTCAAATTTAAACTAGTCTCCTTTAAACAAACTTATTGTCTTATTTATACTGTCTAATTTTTTATTTTCAAAGAATTTGTTTTAAATAATATTCTGAAATTTATTAAAATTTTAACAAAACCCTATAACTTCAATTTTTTCGATTTGTTAATCAGAAAATTTTATAAATTTGTAAAAGAATCTATAAAAGTGTTGTTATCATTATACATATCAAAAATTTTTATATCATGACGTACCAGGAAGACCATAGTTTCTGATAATAATTGATAAAGAGCAGATTTATGTAGTAGACCCAATTCTGTAAGTGTTGCCATGGCATTTATGGCCTTTGTGGTTACAAATTCTTCAGGATCAGATAAACCTTGCTGCAGAAGTGGCATTAATATGGGACTACTATGCCAACCGACATAAGCGGCTACACCTACTATGCATTCAAAAAAAGAGCCTCTCAGTTCCTTATCCTCTTTGTCATTTAAAAACGTGATAACGTGACTAAGTAAAATATCATTGGCTTTCTGTTTTCCGAAAAACACACACAATTTGTTTATTCCATTTTCCATTAACGTTTGTTTTACTAAATTTTTGGGATCTGTTAACAACATAGACACTGATTGTTGGACCTAAGTAAAAGATAAAGACAACGCATTATTAAATTAATCGATAGTGTTTCAGCTATATAGTTCAAATAACGAAAATTTCAGCGAAAATACATCGTTTTAATCTTTTTACGAACTATGAAAAATATTTATACCATTTCGTGCAAGGTTTGAAGTTCGCTGTCATAACTAGGCTTTGGTCCTTCCTTGTTGCCCAAGTTAGACAGATGAGCGTTTTCTAAATAACGCAGAGCGATGTGCGCCAAATGAGCAATATTCTCCGCATAAGCTGCTCTAACAATAACTGCCTCGTCTTGAGTTATGTGCGCTAAACCTGGTAGAATGTACTCAGGAAATATGTTTACATCCGAAGATGGTATCGATTTTACAAGATGTAAACACTTCGTTAAAGTGTGTATCGCTGATACTCTTACCCGCGGCGCCGGATCATGAACCAAATGGAACTAAGTAACATTAAAAAAAAATATATAAGCAATAATTAATAATATAAAATAAAAAGTATAATTTACTCAATTAAAACATTTTTTAGCTTAATACAAGTGTAGCAATGATATTTATTTTTTGTATGATTTAAAAAATTTCTAAAAATTAGCATTTTTAATACTTACGATATAAGGTAATATTCTATCAAGAATTGTCTCGTCAGAAACATTTTCAGCCAATTCTAATAATATCTCTAAGCTGTGCAATTTGGATTGCGAGTAATGCAATCCTCTTATGCAAGATGTAACAAGTTGAGTTATGATAACAAGCCCTTCTAGAATTTCACTCGAGGTAGAAATTGACTTCTTGGATTCCGCGTCGCAAGTTTGTTTGCTATCTTCGGACTTAATCTCTGGCTCTGCGTCCACTTGAATATCACTGCCAATATCTTGTGCTGTGCTCTTCATATCAATTTGATTCAAATCGGTCTTATCGGAACTTTGATCGCTGTCGACTTCTACCATCGTATTTTCTTCGCTGTGACCAGAATCGTCCTTAATTGATTCCACATTACTCTCACATTGACCAGATTTTGCGGTTTCCGCGGGTTTTATTTCGCTCGTTTTCATCCGTTCACTGTCTTCCGCCTTTAGTATACTTATAATATTACCAATGTCCTTTTTCAACCGTGTTATTTTCTCGTCCGGTGATAAAATCGGAGCAGCGGAGAAAATAAGCATGTAAGACTGGAGGAAGGAATAAAAATATTCCGGAAAGATGGTACCTCGAGTTTGAGCCAGATAGATCTCTGCGCTTTTCCTATTTGTTGGATTTCTTTCCAGCATTGAACTAAGCAGCTCACGTATCCCTGGATCGTCTATACTGTCCAAGTGTTTGCTCACAGAATACTCGTTGTTCCTATATGCTGAATATATTAACATCATATTAATAAAATTCAGGTTTGTAAGATCATCTTTTACATTCCACTTTGTACTCATTTTTTAACAATTCAATAAAAAAAAAGAGCAAGAGAATTTATAAAAATATGATATACCTACCCAAAAGTTGTGAAAAATCGAATGGTGGATGCCCTTCATTATACAACTCTGTTAAAGCACAACCTGCAGAAAAAATATCCATCATCGGATGCAAATCACCTGTCTTTACTTCTTGTTCTGGTAATAACAATGTATTGCTCAATTCTGAAGATAATGTTTTCACAAATCTTTCGGGCGCTATGTAACATGTTCTGAAAAGATATTAGAGATTATTCCAATGAAACAAGAAAGAAAGAAGATGGCTTTGGTAAAGATTTTACCTTCTCCTGGAAGTATCAAAAAAATACGAAAAATCTGCAGGATTATCTTCTGGTAAATACGTTGGTTTAAAACTAGCAAAATCCGTGAGTAATATCCAATTCCAACTAGTTATCATAATATTTTCCAATTTTATGTCACCATGACAAACACCAAACTGTAAGAAAAAATATTTATTTTTAAAAATTATAATCAGAGATAATATATTTTATTATTTAAATAAATAAGAAGTTAGTATAGATAAGATTTAAAATAAGCTACTTGAGTTAAATAGAAGACTCTTAAATAATTCTCTTTGAACAGCTATCCTTTTTAAAATGATTCACACATGCTACTTACCTTATGGGCTTGATTAAGAGCGTATAATACTTGGAAAGTGATCCACTTTTTCTCTATGCTCGTTAAAAATGGCCTAGTGCTGATCCTGTCATAAAGAGAATATTTGACATACTCCCGCATTATTGAGCCTGCTTTTTCTGTGAGCTGATCCAAGCATATAATTAATTCTAGTCTTGCTAAAATAAACAATACATGTTTATAGTATTTCTATATTACAATACTTACGATCATTCGTTGAAACGGTAGGCAGTTGACAGCGGAGGCTAACTTTGACCTGATCTCCTCCAGTTTGTCCTTATAAGTAGATAATGGCAATGTTGGATCATGAATTGCGAACACTTTTACAACTATCAGTCCCTCCAGGCTACGGGCCCGAGCTACTTTGAAGAATCTAGTGCTTCCTAAACTGTAAATAACAAGGAATATTGTAAATCAATAGTTTAAATTAATATCACTTCATAATTAGTTAATTCTAAATAATATTCTCAAGGTTTCCATAAATATCACAAACTTTTCTACACATACATATAGCAATTATTAAAATATTTTACTTATAATATTCTCATATTACTTACGAGGGCAGTTTGATAAGTCAGTGACTTTAATTTTTTTTTTTAATTAAAATTAGATTTATTTTTTTAACATAGTCTCCTTTTTAAGTTACTGGCTTATTAAACTATCCACATATAATATTTTTGTCAATATTAACTATGATTTAAAAGGAAACAGAACATTATGTGGATACCTGATTACAATGCATGTACATCTGTTAATATTGATTACAAGTAATAAAAATATCATGAAGTATTAACAGGCTGTTATTATTATGAGATATCACTTGAACACGCGGTTTCGACAATGCTCTTGACAGTGCTAACTAGCAGACGTATGCACACGTAAGGTAGAATAATTCGATTGAGTACTTACTTCACGTCGAATAATAAATCGCTGTGATCTGTCAAATAGTGTTCTACCGGAAATATTTGGCTGGGCGCAATGCCCACTAATTGATTGCCCATTTTTGCCAATTTTTGTTGCCAAGATGAGGATTCAGATAAAAGCGATACACTCACTCTCGGCGTCCATTTTTCCCGATTTTTTACACCTTATGCAGTGCGACCAACCATAATTCTAGATGCATTTAGGATCCTTTGCATTTCAATTGTGTTTACGTAGGCACGCCTGGTACGTACATTCGATACCATTCGGCACTGTTCGGCACCATAGATGGTTACCACATGAAGTTGCATCAATCGTGACTCGTGACGATATTCGGAGTATTCGGACTTTTACTATTCGGAGCAATTTGAGCAACACGACTATTTATTTTATTTCGGGTTAGGCCGGAATCAGACTACGCATTGAAGATTGAGATCGAAGATTGAAGATTGAAATTTGACCAATGAGGGCAAAGGAATTTTAACTCCTATTATTTTGATTGGTCAAATTTCAATCTTTCAATCTTCAATCTCAATCTTCAATGCCTAGTCTGATTCCGGCCTTACTTTTATCGATGTAGTACTTTTTATTTTTTTTTTATTTTTTTTTAGTTTTAAGAAAGAATTAGAAAAAGACAAAAAGGAAATTAAACCGAGATTTAAATTATAAACAAAGATAAAGAATAAGTAAATTAAATCGAGATTATAAAGTTAATTTATATATTGATAAACATGAACATATTTAACGTAGAATCGCTTAAGCAAAAATTTTAACTATGTGCTTTGTTGATCTTAATCTAATGTTTTTTTTCTATAAACAATAAAAAATTAATAATGTACTACAAAAAAGTGTTTTAATAAAATAGATGAGAGTTTTGAATATATAACTAACGCTTAAATTAATTTTTTTATAACACTTTATAATTTTATAAGTAATAAAACTGTTGGATCAGTAACAATCTTTATTGACCTGATTAATAAATATTTAGCTGTGTGGGATTCTCTCTTACCTTCTGTTCTTCTTTGCTTCTATTTTCTTCAAAAGATTTATTTACAACCACAATTCATAAAAGAAAATTAATACTGAACTGAAAATAGCCGTGAATCGAGCATCGATCATCGATGACGACAATTTGAATATTGACAACATTGGCTATCAAAAACTGTGTATTCCGATATAACCGATTTCTGATAGGTTGAAATTATGTTATTCCTATCGCTATCGCTATTCCCTCGTATTGTGTCTTGGGCTTTACAAGCTCGCGACCTGCGACACATGCTGGATTCACACTGCGTCCGAT